CCTCATTGTTATGGGCGATCTAAATACCTGCCTGGTGAGGAATGACCCTAGCTCCAAGGCCAGAGCACTTAAACTCACCTCTATCGTTTCTTCTCTTAACTTGAATATTCTCCCACTTTCTCCAACTCATCACTTTCCAAACTCTAGACCTTCTCTCATTGATATTATAATTACTTCTAAACCTAACTCTGTTATGTCTCATGGGCAAATGACTGCTCCGTTTTCGTACCATGACCTAATCTTTCTAGCCTATAAAGTGCGTCCTCCTAAACTTGAAAATAAAGTCACGCTTCAGCGTAACTTTCGCAACATCAATTTGGATCGTTTAAGAGAGGACGTTAAAAACATAGACTGGTCGCCAGTACTATCAGCTGATAGTGCTGATACCAAAGTTGCAGCGTTTAATACAATCATCACCAAAATATTTGATGTGCATGCGCCTGTTCGCCCCGTGCGGATCAGACATGCTCCAGCTCCTTGGCTGACTGACACTATACGTAGAGTAATGTCTAAGAGGGATAGGGCAAAAACTCGACTCAAAAAAGAACCCAACGATACAAATTTGGCTGATTACAAAAAATTAAGAAACTTATGTAACAGGATGTGTAGAGACGCTAAACGTCGGTACATTCACTCCTCATTGGATTGTCTCTCACAAGCTCAGACATGGAAATTTCTGATGTCATTGGGTGTGGGCAAGGCCACGGCTACCTCCTCAGGTACTGTGGATTTAAATTCACTGAACAAACACTTTTCAACTCCACGAGTTAGTCTTGACGACGCCACTAAAACTAAATCTCTTTCCTTTTTGTTAAATCTTGCTCCACCTGACTGTTCCCCATTTAAATTTCAGTCCGTCACTGAGGATGATGTTAAAAAGAGTATCCTCTCCTTTTCCACGAAGGCTGTAGGTGAGGATAGCATAAGCCTCAATATGCTCATACCAGTGTTGAGTGACATTGTACCAATCATCACTCACATTATTAATTTCTCTTTGATGGTCAATGTTTTTCCTACAGCATGGAAAAGGGCTTTTGTTATACCTCTACCGAAAACCTCAAATCCCACTTCCCTTTCACAGTTCCGTCCTATTTCTATCCTGCCCGTCCTTTCTAAAGTCCTTGAGAGTATTGCTCATAAGCAGCTCTACTCCTTTCTTGTTTCCAACAACCTGTTATGTCCTTTCCAATCTGGATTCCGTCCTTCACACAGTACAGTTAGTGCACTGCTAAATGTCACAGAAGATATACGCCTGGCGATGGACAACACACAGCTTACTGTTGTCACTCTTTTGGATTTCAGCAGTGCATTCAACTCTGTGGACTTTGATATCCTTTTGGCATCCCTTCGCTCTATTAACATTTCGTCCTCAGTGATTGACTGGTTTCATTCTTACCTTCATGGTCGCCAGCAGTGTGTGAAAGCCAACGATGCTTCATCGGATTGGTGTAACTTAACTGCTGGTGTCCCACAAGGAGGTGTACTCTCTCCGTTGCTTTTTTCGATTTTTACCAATAATATCTCCCGTGTATTATCTTCTCCCTACCACTTGTATGCGGACGACCTGCAAATTTATAGGCACTTTTCATTACTTGAAGTAGCTGATGCTATTGACGTAATCAATAGAGATTTATTGGCAGTACAAACATGGGCAAAAAACTTTGGCCTCCTCGTTAATCCTAGCAAGTCACAAGCTCTAATCATTGGGAGTAGTAGGCTGAGAAGTAAGCTGGACCCTGCCGATATTCCCCTTGTTTATTATGATGGCACATGCATCCCCTATACTGACAAGGCAAAAAACTTAGGTGTAATTTTTGATTGCCACTTATCTTGGTTTTCACATATTAACGATGTGAGCAGACGCATGCATTACTCCTTCCACTCTCTTAAGCGATTCCAAAACTTTCTTCCTATCAAAACTAAAATCATGCTTGCACAATCTCTTCTTCTTCCCATTCTTGACTACGCTGATGTCTGTTATCTGGATGCGACGGAAGAGTTACTCAATAAGCTTGAGCGACTACCAAATCTGGCTATAAGATTCATATTTGGACTTCGTAAGTTTGACCATGTTTCCGAATTTCGTGCTCAGCTTAAGTGGCTTCCAATTCGCCTTCGCCGCGATGTGCACATCCTGTCCACTTTCTATAATATCCTTCACAATCCTGCCACTCCTGACTACCTCCGCTCCCGTTTCCATTTTCTTCCTCCAGATCCCCGCCCTAGGCGCGCCTGTATCACAAAGATGCTGGTGTGTCCTCGTGCGAATACCAAATTCTTTTTCAACTCCTTCTCCGTGAGAGCTGTGCAACTATGGAATAATCTACCTAAGACTATTCAAGAAAGTCCGTCTGTACACACGTTTAAGAAAAGAGTTAAAGAGCACTTTATTTCTCAACTACCTTGATGTATTGATTATTTATGTATGTTTATGTATATCTATAATATTTATTTATGTAAGTATATTGTAGATTTGTTTTTTATAGTATTTGTAACAGACTTTTTTCCCCCCCTTTTGTTATTGCCTACATACCCAAAGTATATGAATTCTCTTACGACACATGGGTTGGCTGGAAGAGATCTCTTCTTTAGAGATAAGCTCGCCTTTGCGACATAATTTATTGTAATTTTTTCTATGTTAATATTGCAATAAAGAATATATATAATGCAGCCATAATCAATTTATACATACAGTTAGGAAAAGTATCGCGTTACTTTTAACCACCTGTATGTTAAGCGTGTTGTAAAGAACACAGTTCTTTTTCTAGCACAAGTAAAAATACTTGTTATAAATGGCGCAGATAAAGAATGGATCCCAAATTGGCAATATTGTTATGAGCAGGATCGGAATCCATTCTTTATCTATGCAAATTGTATCAGGTACGAACAAAATTCTGTGCTGTAATTAATTTACAACCATAGTGTCATTCCAGCCTAAGCGCGAGGCCAAGTTACGCTGGTCGCGTAGTATTTAAGTATTGCGACCAGCTTAGATAACTGGGCCTAAGCTTAGGCTAGTCATGTTACATTATGATACTATGATTGAGAATTGACTATAACCAAAGTTCTTTTTTAGGTGGAATCCATCCTTAATGTGCGAACTACGAGTATTGACGGATATCTGCAGATTGCGATGGCTATGGTAATTACTTACTTGATTACTGTTATTATCTGTAATAACTATACGTTTGACGTAGACTATAAGTACCGTGAATAATTTGCTTTAGGTACCTGTACAGTGGTCATGTTCAGTGTCAATAAAGGATTAATTCTTTTTTTATTAAATTAAACCAACCAAAAGCTTATAAAATTCTTTATTTTATTAAATTAAGGACTACCATAGGAATGCCTTAATATATGTAGAAGTTTTTTTTATTTTCTACGGAAAGAGGAAATAGTTTATATTATGTTCTTCTCGTAATTAAGTTATGAAAACATTAAAATTAGTGTCATGTTTATACTAGGCCTTAATGTATTAAAAGAAGAATACATAATACCTATATTGTTGCTCTACATGCATTATTTGGAAAGAAAACAGGGGGATTCCTTTGTATGAAACTTGGCTTTAAATACGCTTAGGGCATGCAATTTCCTTGACACCCTTTATAATCATTTATTGATTATCCGTTATTGAACAATCCACCCATGTGAGTATGACGTAGCCTCGTAATACTCGGAAAAGAAATATGAACTAGAAAAAAACCTTACCAACCAAGCGACAAAAAAAAACAAACAAACAAAATGATTTTATTAAATCTCTCTGTAATACGACCTTTTGACCTCTTGTGATTGAATTACTTCGGAATGTGAAGATACTAAAATGAGCGATAACCTTAAAAATACTAAAATCTGACAGGCCATTACCCTGTAGATGACGTGTTATAAAGAAAACGAGTTATTTGAGATTGAGAGGTTAGCGAATTCCATGACAGACAAACAGAGAAACGCAAAAAGCTATTTCATTTTATACTTTGATATTTCCTAGTTTGCTGCACTAAACTCATCTGCAAAAAAGTTTAGAAAATTTTGTTCTGAAATAGGTAAGTATTCAAAGGAAAAACGACAACGAAATCAGAAATTGCACGACTGAACTGTCTGCATAATTATAAAAGGTGCTTTGCTTGTGTCCGGCCTTAAAAGTGTCAAATGTTGTTGTCCTAAAGACCTGTCTGATGTATTTCCAGGGACCATACATGAGAGTATTAGGCAGATTACATTTCGCCTATTATAAAACAAATTAAAATGCTTAAAAAAACGTTATCCATGGTTTGGTGCCGGCTTAGAATAGCATTATGCCATATCTTTCCCTAAGAAGCGAGTAAAAGATTTGAGAGTTGATGTGTACAGTTTTGATGACAGGCTGACAACATACATACATAATCCCTCCTGAATGACATTTTTTTTGTCAGATGTGGTATAAATGGCCGTTTTTATTGCTGTTTACACTCTGTCTACCCCGCAAGGAATATAGGCGTGATATATGTATTTAAATTCAAAAATTCGAGTTTCTAAGTAAAGAGTCGTGTACCTAACCTGAGCACAGGACCTAAACTCAGGTAAGTTTTGTGAGGTTAATACTCTTAATGTTAATTTTAATAACAAGTAAAAAACCTTTTTGTTGTTGCAAACAACAGGCAAAAAACGCACGTAACGTGTCCGTTTGTGTGTAATTTTTTTGCTGCATAACGCATACGTTAGGACATTTCCAATTTCAACCTAATTTTCATAGAAATACGGTTTATGTCAAATGTTTTACAGACGCATCCGTCGACGCAGCTGATGCAATGCGCAGCACTAGCGGATGTGTCTGTCAAACTATTTGACATAAACCGTATTTGTATGATAGGTATAACATTACCGGAATGGGACGGAAGATGCGTTGCTCGAAGATATTGCAAGATGAAAATTGCACTTTCCTAACGCAAGCGATGGTGCTGCGCAAAAATAATGCACAAACGGACGTTACGTGTTTGTTTCTCCCCTAAGCTACTTGCCTTTTCCACCGGGGAGGCAGGATTAGAACCTGTCACCTACGGCATCTGTACTGCCGATCTCACTACCAACTGAGCTACCGCGGTATTATCCTAGACTGCGAATTAAGCATTATCTTGACCACTAACGCGTGGCAGAGCTCCATCTATCGGGACAGTTTCGCAAGTAGATAATCCCTGGCTACTAATAATAATTGTGTACCTAACACGGGAAGTGTTTCAAAATTTGGTATTCAACTCAGCATTTAATTTTCCCTTAATCTGTCAGAGTATGTCAATTATTCGCATTCCTGTATTCTGGTTAACCTTGGTGAAACGGATTCACTGACCTACCCGACAGGTTAAACTTAATGATAAACTTGTTGTAGATAGATAAGTAATTTAGCAAAAACCGACTTATATCAAGTGGATATTTTTTTATCACTATCATGAGGCAATAACAACAACAATAAATAATCTTAAAGTCGTTTGCCGGATCCAGTTTTACAACGAAAGGAGTTTTGGAAATCATAGAAAAGCCGGCATGGCGTAGCACGCAAAATAGGGCATGTAGGTAGACGTCGAGTTGCGGAATACATATACAGTAAATAAGCCATTGCCGTTATAGTCTAAGCTCCCGTCGACCAAGTCTTACCTCATAGGTCTACCGCACGGACGTATACTCTAGCGATAGATACCACTTAGGAGGTCAGGAAAATACTGGGTTGCCATCTCCTAACCTGGAGGAAACTTTTTTATTCGAGTTGGACCAGGCAAAACCAGTCCAAACATTATCTCATATTTCTACCGCTCCAAACGTTAACCTACCTAAAGAGACTCCGTTTGAGATGAGAATGCGCGAGGGTGGCCAGCTCCAATCCTGGCAGGTTCAAGGTCAGCCACATTTATGAGGCCCAAAATGGAGTTTTACCTCATCTTTCTACCGGACGAAATTAGTGTCAATCGATAGCTCTAAGCATGCCATTGACAAATATATAGGTTGCCTGCTATCAGCCTGGCAGGAACTCTGGTAAACCCCTCAAAGAAACGACGGTAAAATCTTCAAACAAAGAAAAGTCATGAAAACCACTAAGATTCCAGCAAAACTTAATGTAAACTGCGCCATAGAGTTACATTCTGTTGTGGGACACTGCATCGACGAACGACCCGACGGAACCTGGTGTTTTCAAAGCATCTATAATTAGGAAGTACAAAGCAGGCCACAAGGCCTTACCTTTCTTGCAACCTAACAAAATTTATGCCAATCAATAGCCCTAGGTATGCCATTTATAAATATATAGGTTTTCCTGGTATACCTCCTCAAACAAACGTTGGTTTAATCTTCAAACCAAGAAAAACTTACGTAAAACTGCCAAGATATTTTGCTACCGAACAAAATTAGTGTCAATCGATAGCTCTAGGCATGCCACTGATGAAAATATAGGGTTGCCTGCTATCAGCTTGGAAGTTTTCTGGTACACCACTCAAACGAACGCTGGTAAAATCTTCAAACCAAGAAAAACTTATGTAAAACTGCTAAGATATCTTGCTACCGAACAAAATCAGTGCCAATCGATAGCGCTAAGTATGCCGTTTATGAATTTATAGGGTTGCCTGCTAACAGCCTGGCAGTTTCCTGAGACTCCGTCAAATGAACGCAGGTAAACTATTCAAACCAAGAAAAACTTTTGTAAGACTGCTAAGATGTCTTGCTACCAAACAAAATTAGTGCCAATCGATAGTCCTAGACATGTCATTGATAAATACATAGGGTTGCCTGCTATCAGCTTGGCAGTATCTTTGGTATACCCCCTCAAACGAACGCAAGATTTAACCAGCGTTCGTTTGAGGGGATACCAGGGACACTGCCAAGCTAATAGCAGGCAACCCTATGTATTCATCAATGACATGTTTAGGACTATCGATTGGCACTAATTTTGTTTGGTAGCAAGACATCTTAGCAGTCTTACACAAGTTTTTCTGGGTTTGAATAGTTTACCTGCGTTCATTTGACGGAGTCTACCAGGGAAACTGCCAGGCTGTTAACAGGCAACCCTATAAATTCATAAACGGCATACCTAGCGCTATCGATTGGCATTGATTTTGTTCGGTAGCAAGATATCTTAGCAGTTTTACATAAGTTTTTCTTGGTTTGAAGATTTTACCAGCGTTCGTTTGAGTGGGTGTACCAGGAAAACTTCCAAGCTGATAGCAGGCAACCCTATATTTTCATCAGTGGCATGCCTAGAGCTATCGATTGACACTAATTTTGTTCGGTAGCAAAATATCTTGGCAGTTTTACGTAAGTTTTTCTTGGTTTGAAGATTAAACCAACGTTTGTTTGAGGAGGTATACCAGGGATACTGCCAGGCTGATAGCAGGCAACCCTATATATTCATCAATGTCATGTCTAGGGTTATCGATTGGCACTAATTTAGTTTGGTAGCAAGACATCTTGGCAGTGTAACACAAGTTTTATGGGTTTGAACATTTTACCTGCGTTCATTTGACTGGGTCTACCAGGATGCTACCAGGCTGATAGCAGGCAACCCTATATATTTATAAATGGCGTACCTAGGGCTATCGATTGGCATAAATTTTGTTTGGTTGCAAGAAAGGTAAGGCCTGTCAGTGGCCTGCTTTGTACTTCCTAATTATAGATGCTTTGAAAACACCAGGTTCCGTCGGGTCGTTCGTCGACGCAGTGTCCCACACAACAGAATGTAACTTTATGGCGCAGTTTACATTAAGTTTTGCTGGAATCTTAGTGCTTTTCATGACTTTTTCTTTGTTTGAAGATTTTACCGTCGTTTCTTTGAGGGGGTTTACCAGAGTTCCTGCCAGGCTGATAGCAGGCAACCTATATATTTGTCAATGGCATGCTTAGAGCTATCGATTGACACTAATTTCGTCCGGTAGAAAGATGAGGTAAAACTCCATTTTTGGGCCTCATAAAATGTGGCTGACCTTGGAACCTGCCAGGATTGGAGCTGGCAACCCTAGCGCATTCTCATCTCAAAAGGAGTCTCTTTAGGTAGGTAAACGTTTGGAGCGGTAGAAATATGAGATAATTTTTGGACTTTTTTTGCATTTTCCAACTCGAATAAAAAAGTTTCCTCCAGGTTAGGAGATGGCAACCCAGTATTTTCCTGACCTCCTAAGTGGTATCTATCGCTAGAGTATACGTCCGTGCGGTAGACCTATGAGGTAAGACTTGGTCGACGGGAGCTTAGACTATTACCATCATGACGTATGCTGTCGCATCAAATTGCAATTGACACATGTCATTGGGGTTGTGGCTAACACGAACCGCAGTATTAGCTGGTTTTTGCATTCGATAAAACAAAAGCCTCACTGCAGTAATTTTAGTTATAATGTAGATGAACCTTATTAATAAATAAATAAATAAAACGTAAAATACTTACCTACCTAAATATTTTACGTTTAAAATCCGTAATTTAGAATTTGTGAAATTTTAATACAGGATGCAAAAAAATCAACTGCAAATATTTAAAGGAGTGAACCAGCCCATGAAACTGAACAAAAATCAATTGTATTAACGGGAATTTTAAAATTTGCGCGCTGTATAAAGTGGATCATGAGATGCAATGTAACAATTATTAATACCTTATATATACCATGTATCCATGCAAATAAATATTTTTGGCTTTTGACTTTGACTAACAACTTTCCCCAAGGAACATAGGTCGAAACATGAAAAAAAAAATTTGGACCTCCCATACGAAACGTTCCAGCCAACCAAGTCAATTTTATAGTCAGTGTCACTCGCGCTGCTGAGACCAATCTACGACACTCCATCTCAAAATCCGTCAAGACTCTAGCTCTATCCCGTGAAAAAAAAAAATTGTCCAAACAAAACCACTCACATACATACTCTCGAAAAACATAACCCTGTGAGGCAGTCGAGTAAAAAGTAGAACTCCAGGTGCGTTTCGGCGCTAAGCCAATGTTTTCTATCCCGTGTTCCTGTCAGATGTCAAGCCTAGTTTTATCGATGGTTCTCTTAACGATGTGGTTACAGGCCTTCTGTTACAGGCGGCAATGAAACTGGAAAGTTCTGAAGTGCCCAGGGCCGGATCAGGGTATGAAATTTAAGAAAATCTGTCACGTAGTATATGTTTTTGTCAGGTTCAGATTTTGACAGAAACAATAAGTACCTATTAACACAAACAATATTAACACAAAAACCTAAATAAACACGTCATACGATCATTTTTATCACTCTGACATTTAGCGAATTTGATGTTTTCCTAATACCTATCTATTGATAAATACGTTAGCTAGAGTTATATAAACACAGTGGATTATAAGTAGCACACCATTTTATTCTCTTGTTGATAAAGTGACAACGTCTCATTTACATGCGACAGATTAGGTTTGCTATGGTAGTCAGCCAGCGCTAATACATGCAACCTCCAACACGCCCCCTTAATCTGTGGCATGTGTACACACCTTAAAACTCATGTGCATGCACCTTTACAATATTCAGTGTGCATACACCCTAATAGTTTAAGTATGTAGCTTTATGAGCCTACGTACAACTACAGTGTAGATCGTGAATGACCATTTGTCATTATACAGTTACAGCATGAAACAAAACGAAAACATAAGAAATTAGTCATTACAAAACACAACATAAATAATAATAACTAACACAGTTTAGTTTACGTTAGCCTAATTATGCTTTCTCCTCAAATATCGCCCTCTTAATGGGTAATTTCTTTAAGAGTAGTTTTAGCTTAGGACCTGATAAGGCTTTAGTTAGCATGTCCGCACACATTTCTTGCGAAGGCAAGTACCTAAGCTCTACAGCTTCGTTTTGAATCGCCTCGCGGACAAAATGATATCTAATGTCAATGTGTTTAGTCCTATTGCTATTCATTTTGTTTTTAGCTATTGTGTGTGACGACTGGTTGTCGTTGTAGATTGCTACCGGTTTGTTATAGCTATCGTTAATCAAACTCTGTAGCAAGCTTTTTAAATAAATAGCTTCTTTCGATGCAATACTAAGACCTAAGTATTCAGCCTCAGTCGAGGATAAAGTCACGCATCTCTGCTTACGACTTTCCCATGTAATTAAATTTTCG